GGGGCCACGCGGTGCCGTACTGACGCGAGACTCGCGAGCAGGCGGGCTTGCACTCTTTCTAATGAGCCGATTGCTGTACTCCTGCAAGACGTGAGACATCACACAGCTGGCACTTGCACCACCTATAGACGCAGATTTACGGTCCGGCTGGTAGGTAGGCGATGCGCCGTAGGTTGCCTTCATTTAGGTGTGTGTGTTTTTTTTTAAATTGAAAATTGCCATCTGCCAGGCAGGCGGCTCGCTAGAAACCACGGCGTCTGATGCCCGCTTCCACCATATGAGCTCCCATGACCGCCGCTTTGCCGTGTACTTCCCAGGAAGGGCCGGCCGCGCTTTATGGTGAAGTGCGCCGCATTGTTTTACTTTTTCTCTTCTTGTTGGCATTATTTTATTTGTTGCGCTTTTGTTTGGCGGCGCGGTGTGAAGATGTTTACCGACTGCAGCAGCTTGCGCTTTGCACAGTCAAACACACGCACGCACACACACACGCCAATAATAATACGCGGACGTGTCAATGACCCCGCGTGTAGTGAGTCATGCACAATACTTGCCCGGCCGGTGTGACCCCCTCATCCTTTAACCACCACAAAGAAACACACCCCGAGATACACCGCCAACAAAGTGTACATCCATGTCGGCGTCGAGTGGGTGGATAAGCAAGCAAAACGCGAGCGAGCGCACACACACTACCTGCTCGCCGCGCGCTAGCAGCAAACGAATCACGCCGCGTTCTTTATTCTGCGATGCTTTATCGTCCCGGGGAATGCCGTGCTCGCCTTACGCGGGCCCCGGAGGCACCTGCTGTATATGGGTGGCCGCGCCGCCCGCGCCGCGCGCCGCGCCCGGGGGAGCGGAGCACAGCGCCCAAATCAGGGTCAAGTGTACGACCAAGACCATTCATAGAGAGAACTCCATCTCGCAGAACAAAGAGAGACGGACGCCCGGAGCCGCGCCAAGCAAGCAGCAGGCGCTTCCTACACAGGAGAGAAAATGCGAAAGAGACGTACGCGCGCGGAAAAAATCCGATGCGCATGGCTGTGGTTGTGGCACTACTAATACTACTTGTGCGGCGGCACCCCCGGCCGTGCGACCCTTGATCCGAACCGCTTCATCATGCCGACAGCAACGTGTCGCGAGCCGAGCGGCGGCCGCTCCTAGCCGCGCCGGAGGAGGTGACAGTATTAAGCGAAGCGAGTGGCGTGTTCTATGGCGACGGCCTGCCACAGCAGCGGCTGTTGTTGTTCGTCGAGGTGCCTCTGCTTCGCAGAAAGGGTAAATAATACCCTACCCAAGCGAGCAACAAGTAGGGGAGGGGTGGGCTGGGCTAGGCTGGGCTTGTCTGCCGTCACTGGCGCCGGGCGAAGAGCATCAGGCATCCTGGCCGACAACGCGCGCTGCAGCTACAAGTAGTAGTAATACTGCACGCCGCCCACATGGCGCAAGACATCGCGCCCCGGACGCGACCTGGGCCCCGGTGCGGCCCGGTGTGCGTACCGTACCGCTGCTGGGGCACTGAGGAAGTAGGGCTCCCAGCGCGCGCGCTCGCGGTGCCATATCGCACTCGGCGGAGAAAGGGGCGGGGCGGGGCGCGCCGGGGAGGTAATAATAGTCCAGAATGGTCGGTCAGGTCGGCTGGCAGGCGGAGGCACGCCGTCTGGCTGCTTGACGACGCCGAGCGGCGCCTCGCTCGCGCGGCCGCGGCCAGGCCCCCGACACAGGCGGCAGGCACGGCTCTAAGCGCTGAGGGGGGAGGAGGAGGTGAGCGGGGCGGGGCACGACGGACGGACCGAGGTGCAAACGCCAATACTTTACTCACTCACTTTCACTGGCAGTACGGCGCGGCGTGGCACGGCTGGGCAGGGCGGGGCGAGGTGAGGTGGGGCACCCGGGGCACCCGAGGCAGGGCGCTGCTCCGCTCTGCTTTCGGACCAGAGGACGGCACGGGACGGACGGGGTCCCGCCCCTGCCGCTGCCGCCTTCTCCAGGCAGCTCCAGGCGGCGCCAGGCCTTCCCCACATAGCCTCTCATGATTACCACGGCGAGCAGCTCATCCCGTCTAAATCAGGCTCTAATCACGTTTAGCCATTGGCCGCGCGCGGTGTTCTCTAGGGAGAGGCTGGGGCCCCGCCCGCGCCGGGCGACTCGACGTGCGCGGCTGAGACGATGAAGACGAGTAGTTTCTCTGCTCGTTCGTGAGAACAAGTAGTGTGGAGTGGCGATATGGTGCGAACCCTTGGCGTTCTAGAAGAGTGCGATGGGATGCCTGGCACTTGACGCTCTCGGTCGCAAAGGCGCTCAGAGAGAGAGATGCTGCGCGCGCCGGGATGAAAAATTCAAACAACAACAACGAACGACGACAACAACAACAAGTTGATGCAGTTTCTTACTGTTCTTTCGAGCGGCATGGCAGTGCCCCGCCGCCCCAATGGGGTTCGTGCCGCGGAGAACTCATCCGCTTTTAATTAATGCCAACCTCCTCCTCCGCTTCCTCCCCCCTCCTCCCCCGCCTGCTCGATGCTGCAGCCCGCGGTTCAGCCGTTCAGCGGGGCGTGGCGGGCGCGGCATAAGCGTTGCGTTTTGTAGCGCCGGGCCGCCGCGGCCGCCGCCCGCCCAGAAGGAGGAGGAGGAGGAGGAGGGCGTTCCTCCGCCTAGACCGAGGCAGCCGTTGTGCAACGAGGACGACGCCTTTCTGCCGCCGCTCTGCTTCTTACATTTCCCTGCAGAAAATGAGCGAGGCGGTGGCGGTGTGATTTCGCGTCGCGCGCGGCCGTCCGAATGTGCGCCGGGCCGGGTCCCGTGTCACTCTGCGGTCGCTGCTGCGGCAGTTTACCGCTGGACGAGCCTCGTCTGCAGTCAGCAACAGTTTGCACTTCTTGTGGAACGTCTGCTCGAGTAACTACCCTCGCTGACCCGCGAAGTCCTCGGCACACCGGCGCTCGCTCGCTGACAAACTGTTTACTGCCCGGATTTTTTTACCCCCTGGCTTCCTTGCAAGTTGTTTACTTCTCTTTCCGTAATGCCTGTGACACACTGACTGGGGCCATACCAGGTACGACAACAACGAGTAAACTAGGCGACGGGTCGGACGCGGCAGCAGGAAGGGGCTCGTCCGCGCACTACAAGGGGAGAAAGCGTCGGGACGAGTCGAGCCCGCGGAGGAGCAGCAGCAGCGCCGCCACCGCCGGCAGCAGCACAACCCCGGACGGGACGGGAGGACCAGGATCAGAACGGCGGCGGCGGAAGGACGGCGGAAACAGGACAGATAGGAAACGCACTGCGAGCGAGCGCACCCCTGGGCGGGGCGGGGCGGCGGGGAGTGTCGCAGCAGCAGCAGTGACACTCGCAGCATTGCGTAAGGTCGCGCGCGGTGAAAAATCAATCGTTCCGCTCGCGGGAATCGACAACCTCGCAGAAACCAACAACAGGCGGCAACCACCACTACCCCACCACCACTGCGGGGAGCCGTATAATGCGACAATAATCACCGACCTATCGTCGGGGCTGCGGCGGTGTCGCTGTCGCGGGGCGATCGAGGGCCTGCGCCACCGCCGCCACCACCGCACCGAAACAAACAAGTTGCTGTTGTTTGTAGCGATCGGCCGGCCTTCGGGGCGCTCTAAACGTAGTACGGCGACCGGCGGATTTCAAACCGATGTCGAGTAGTTTGTATACTTATCGGAGCACCGGCACCGGCACGCGTATACGCGGTAGGTCACAGTCAGACGAGGTGGAACGGGGGGGGGGGGGCGTACTGCTTTGCAGCCCCAAAGCTCAGTGACTCACTCGCGGGGTACGCCGGCGCGCTGCTCTCAGGGCCAAGCCCCTTGCGGTCCCTGCTGCGCACGCGCGCGTTGCCCGTCACACGCACTGGACCCGATGGCGATTATGAAATAAGTTCTGTGTGCGTTTGTTGTTGAAGGCCTATCTGACCGGCCGGGCCCGCCGCCGCCGCGCCCCGCACGCCATGTCGCTTGTTAGCGCGAGCGAGACGGAAAGTGTGAGGGAGATAGTGCGGGGCGCGCGGTGGGGGCGGGGGCGGGGAGCTAATGGTACATGCATGTCGTGTTTTCAGAATGTCAGCGCAGGACGCATGTGAATGTGAAGTGTTTCGCGCGAGAATGCGAGGCGGGGCGGGGCGGCGAGGAAGTGGAGTCTGAGTGAACGTGAGGGAAAGAGGGATAAAAAGGAAAAGAGGTTTCGCGCGCTCGGGCAGTAAGCAAGGAATGTGCCGCGAAGTGGGGGCAAAAGGACCTGTGGAAGCTTATGATTCGCCTGGGTTTGGTATTCACTACATCACCGGGCCCTGGCCCGGGCCCGGCGGGTGGCCCCTAGGGAGCGCGCGGGTCCATATCCCCGATGGTCCGCGCGCCTGCGCCTAGTCTCTCGATTGGATCGCAAACAAACGACGTGCGGCACGAGGTACGTGGAGTGGAGGGGAATCGAGATCGGAAAGCAAAGATGGCGGACTGTCTGTCCCTCCGCTCCACCCGCTCCGCCTTCACTACTGCCATACATGGTGTGGTACCTTGAAAATGGCTCACGGAACGTAGCTCGTCTCTCTCTCTCTCTCTCCCTCCGTTCTCTCTTCCCTCTTTTTCTCTCTCTCTTGCAAACCTCTCTTCTCCCTCCGCTCTTTCTCTTCCGCCCAGGTCGGCTCGCCGCGCACATGTCGTGCATAGCTTCACGTTATCATGGAATGTCGATTCCTCCCGGTTTTTTTCAGTCCCCTCCCCCCTCCTTTTACTGTCCCCTCTCCAACTCGACCGCGCCGTGCTCCTCCGGCAGCCCGCGGTTTCAAGACTCAAGAGTTTCTCACCAAAGAGGAACTGAAAAATGCGGTCCTAAGAAATACAAATAATGTAGTGCAGTAAACGTTCGAAATTCGGCTCAAAGATAGAGAACTTTGGTCTCGGTCGTAGTCGGCCAGTTCGTTCGTTCAGTGTGCGATTTGTCGAAATTCATCGCGAAGTTCACAACAGAAATTTTTGCGTGTGTCGCAGGTTTCAGGCCCGACCCGTAGCAGCCCGCCATGGAGGTGATTGCGGGTGACCTGGCGGACCTGCCGTTCCAGCGGCGCAACGTGGTGGAGTGGTCGCACCGGGACCAGCTGACGGGCGCGCTGGAGCGGGCGCGCCGCGAGACCAACCACTGGTCCGCCAGCACGGCCAGCGCCATCCACAACTACAACAAGGTGGTGGACCAGCGCGCGCTCAACCTCGGCGACGGACGAGTGCAGCAGACCCAGCGCAAGCAGCTCGAGGTGTTCTCCACCCGGGTGCCCGGCGGGTCCATGCAAGTCATCCGCTCGTCGACCACCTCCTCGTCGCGCTCCACCGTCCAGCTGTCGCAGGTGAGTCCCGCCGCCCCGTCCGGCCGGGCCCCACACTCCCAGAGAGGCACTCCCACAGAACTACTGACGACCGAGATAATCCTTGCTTCCAGATGGGCGCCGGCTCCTGGTCCACCGTCCCGGACATGGACACCGCCTTCGGGGACCTGCAGGTATTTGCCTCGCTTCTCACTGTCGCCCGCTATTTGTCAAACGTCTGCGCTCGTTTGGCGCGGCCCGACCTCCCCGACCCCACCCCGCGGGCCTAACGGCCGACGGCGCGCTAAGTTGCCTACGCGGCCGGCGCGGATTTCTCCCCTCTGCGTCGTTTTCGTTTTCTCTCGTGGGACATTAGTCAGGCTGACGGGCGCGCTGCCCCGCGCGGATGCTTGCAGCTGTCGCTGCACCCCCTGGACCTGAGCTCGGAGAAGAGCAAGGCGAGCGTGGGCCGCTCCATCGGCTGGCGACGGCCGCCCTCGCGCGTGGCGCGCACCAACGCGGCCAACAGCGCGGCCAGCAACTCGGCGAGCGGCGCTGAACGCCAGGACGGGCCTAAGGTAAGCAAGTGCTCACTGCTGTGGGGGACATTTGGGGGCCCATAAAAATATGGAAATGTTTATCAATGACCTCAAAGACGTGCACACGGAAAAAAAACTAAATACGGTTTAACTGATGATTTAGCTAGCTATAGATAGATTAAAATGTAGCTATCCTCAGCTCAATGTTTAACTATTAAGCTAAATTTTAAGCTACACAGTTAAAAAATAAGTTATTCAGCATTTAGTGATTGGTTATCTACATAGCTTTTTAGTGCACTCATACTTGAATTGTTTTTTCCCCGCAGGAGACGCGCCTGGAGATCACCGTCGAGGACGACAAGAGCGAGCCGAGCGGGCCCATCATCTCCTTCCCATCGGACGACGACAGCAGCGAGAAGACGGCCTCCATCATCACGGCGTCGTCCAGCGTCAGGAACAGCAGCTCCAGGCACTCCATCGTGGAGTCCAGAAAGAGCTGCTCCAGCGAGAACCTGGTCAAGGTGGGGGTCGACATCAGCGACGCCCAGTCCGTGGACAGCGGCAGTTCGGCCAACGGGTTCCTCGGGCGATCGTCGGTGCTCCGACGGTCCCTGCAGTACACCCGACCCCCCGACTTCCCCACGGGGACCAGCGTGCGAAGGATGAGGGAGGAGATCGAGGCGCGCGGCGGCGTCAGCATCACGTCCGTGCCGACCTCGCCCAGCCCCACCCCGACCCCGGCCTCGGCCAAGGAGCACACCCTGGACAAGGTCAAGAGACTAGTCAGCGACAGCATCGCCACGCAGAACCACTCGTTCGTCACAGTCAAGTCCCTCAACGAGGTCCGGGGCCGCCTGAGGAGCAAGGTGGCTGACGACGACGCCAAGCCCGTCAACGGCGAGAGCGAGGAGCAGCCCGCCACCGACACCCTGGTGAGCGAGGACCACGTGCTCCGGAGGGTCAAGGAGACGGCCAAGACCTCGGGCCCGCGCGTGCAGAGCTACGTGTTCGGCATGGAGAACGGCAGGGGTGCATCGACGGACAGGGCTGACTCCCCGCAGAAGGACAAGACCACCAACGGGGTGCGGTCCGAGGAGTGGCACCGGCGCCGAAAGTCCTACGGGTTCGAGACGGAGGTCCAGAACCAAGGGCTGCTGTCGCTCAAGGAGAGCAAGGAGGACTCGTGGAGCGACAGCGGGGCGACCCTGTCGCCGCTGCTCAAGCACATCGACGTCATCAAGCGGTCGAGGGAGGCGGGCAGGATCCCGCGGCCCGTGAGCCTCTACGAGCAGGACCCCGCCAGGCTGGACAGTAACGGGGACGTGAAGTCCAACGGGCTCGCCGCGCTCAGGGCGGGCGACGAGCCGGCGACCAAGCGGACGGTCGTCAACATCGTGGAGGACGCGGAGAAGGCCACGGACATGGACAGGCGTCGCGACGTGCTGCGGCGGCGGACCGAGCGCGAGATCAGCCGGCAGGCCAGGAGCGCGCGCAGCCTCACGGAGCCCGTCTCGGTCAGCATCCCCATCGTGGCCAACGACGCCGTCGTCGTCCGGGCGGATGGCGGCGGCTCGCACGACGACCCGACACCGGAGCCCACCCTACTCATCAACGGCTTCCACTACGACCAATCGAGCAAGTCCCAGGAGACCAAGCGACACTCCATCGCCATCGTGGAGCAGGTGGACGACGACGACAGCAACGACAAGGTGGACGCCAACAAGGACGCCCCGTCGCTGCCGCGGCCGGCCGACACCTACCTCTCCGACTCGACCGAGGACGCCGGGCACGCGCGGAAGAAGCGGGTCGAGTTCAGCAAGACGGAGGTCCACTTCGCTGCCGAGCCGGGGCGCTTCAACCTCGTGTCGACCGACGACAAGCCGCCGCCGACAAACATCGTCCGAGGACGCCGTCGGCAGAAGCTGCTCGCCGAACAGCGGATCAACCGGAGTGGTCTGCCCGAGGTGCGTTTCGGCGACACCCCGCTGGAGCAGACGACCCTGGCGCCCGCCGACGGCGAGGAGCACAAGACCACCGCGGCCACGGGGGTCATCACCGTCACCATGGAGGGAAAGCTGTCCCCGGACCACCCCGCCGAGCGCCTGCAACCCACCAGGACGGTCGAGGCCGACGATGAGAAAGCCAGGGGCTTGGTGAGGTGCACGGTGAGCGCCGAGGCGGAGACCCCCAGCGGCACGGCCGTCCCCATGTGGAGGTCCACCGTCACGCTGAAGAACAACTCGTTCGCGAGTCCGACTGTACCCAGCAACGAAACGACGAACGACGGGCAGGCTGAATTTCAAAGATTGTTAAAGTCACTAAGACCGACAGGAAAAAGAGAGGTACGTTTCACTATAAATTGACTTGACCACGAATGTTGGCAAGAAATTGTTGAGCAGTGTTTTACCATTTTCTTTTCAGAGCATACCATCTGAAGTAACTCCTGAAGTGAAGATCACAACACATGCTCCAACTGTTCGTTCCAAAGGATTTTCAACAAAGGTTAGAAACGAGATTTTCTTTTTCACAGTTTGTCGTTAAGTATTTGTCAACATTTACCTATCTGAACCTCAGGTCACTTTGGTCCCCGAGACGCCCGGTGGCTTTGTGTCGGAACACCATACCACACACAAGCAGCTGGATTCGTCCGAACAGAAAAATATTCTCCATAGTTTAAAATTAAGTAAGTAGCAACTGCTTTTATATAACTTTTCTGATTTACCTAACTGCAACAGAGACCGATATTTGCTGTAGATAGTTCTCCCTAGATCAAACTACTTAGAGTAATAACCCAGTTTTACAAGCACGCAGGTAAATAGCCAGCGAAAATCCGCACGAGTTTGACCACCACCTCTCGTGCTCTACATTTCACTTTATTAAAAACGTTAACACCCCAACACTAATGTCTCTAGTGCTACTTCTAACTCGAGCGCTTGTCGAGCACACTAAACTGCAGGTGTCTCCTCCCGCCGTTCGTTCCAGGCCGGCTCGCGCTGGAGTCTACCCCGCTGGTGCTTCTCGCTAACAGGCCTCGCAGGGTTGGCAGGGCCCGCCAGGCCCGGAGGCCGACCCCGGCCGAAGACGAGGAGTTGAGCGACGACTCCCTGCAGGCTGACGCTGAAGTGCGGTCCTACATGGTAGAAAAGTCAAGCCTAGCCCACTTAAGTATACGAGGTCCGCAAAAACTATTAACTCAGCAGTTTTTATGTGATGTTCTATAAACGGGGAGTAGAACCACTAAAGTAGCCATCAGGCTCCTCCGGATTCACCTCTTTGTCACGTCTTGGGGGCAGGGACCCGTAACTTAACGTGTTGCCGTTACGCTACAGGTTCCCGGAGCTAAAGTAAATGTTTTGCTATCGCAAAGTTACCTAATTACTGCCAAATACGCAATACGGCATTTTGAGAGAAAAACATTTGATAAATTAGTGATATTTTTCGGTGCATGCGGGTCGGTATGTGTCTGACTAAACCAATACGGTGAAACAGTAAAATATTATTTGGTGTCTAGCGTGATAAGTTACGGGTCTGGAGGCTGGCCGTTGGCGCGGCGGCGCACCAAGCTCCTCGCGGGTAGGCACCCCATCGTGCTTGTCGGCGAGACGAGCGCGGTGGGCGGCCCACCCGCAGGCGGCCAAGTGTCTCGGTGTACAAATGTGCGGTCTGTTACTGTTTAACTTCTGTTTGTATTGATGTTTTAATAGTCTCACTGCTAATTAGAACGCAAGTTTTCTCACAATAGTAACTTTTCTTTAACAATTAATCTGGTTCGTTGTAGATACTAGAGTAACTCCATAAACTCCGAAAAAAGAACAAAAGGGAAAGATATAAACAAAAGAGCAAAAAAGGAGACGAGAACGACACGTGGTTGTTTGGACAAACAACATATTGACCGTGGTAAGCTTATCACAGTTCTTACTAACGCAATGTAATGGGATGCTTCCAGGTGTCTCGCCTCCATCCCCTACATCCTACTCCCCCATCCTAGATGCCCCACTCCCCATAACCCTCACAGGCCCCTCGTACCCGACCCTCCTGGATACCCGGGAGCATCGTAGCCGCGAGCACCGGGACTCCGTCACCGAGGACGGGGACTGGCGCTACAGACACCACGCCTCCAAGGCCGAGAAGTTGGTGCAGCTGGACAGAGGCCTTGTGGATCCCCAGCCTCGAACCGCCTCCCCGAACACCGTGTACATCGTCCCCGAGCAAAGGAAGCAGAGCAGGTGAGTTCAACGCCGACCTGCTGTTCAGGTATTTGGGTCCGAGGTGACAGCTACAAGTAGTAGTGGTAGCCACCCCGTTTTTCTCATTTTTTTTTTTAATTTTGAAAAAGCTAAGTCTACAAAATATTAGTTGTTAAAGTATCGCCTTCCGCTCCCCTTTCCTATTCAAACCTTGCCGTCCCGAGCAGGTTCACCGACGTTGGGAGAGCAGGATTGCGAACGCCCAGCCCGGTCCTGCCCAAGTCCTTCTCACTGGTGGACAGCGTGACCCGGAGGACGGACGCCGCGACGCAGGTCTCCAGGGACGACTGCGAGAGGACGGTGTCTGTCAGAGAGATTCTGGACAGGCTGGCCGTCGAGAAGACCGAGGGCAAGGAGCGGATCATAGAGGTGGTCAGCCTGCCGACGAAGCAGGTCGCCGACGCGGCCCCGGAATGCAGGAGGAGCAGTCCAATGCACGACAAGATCAACGGGGGAACCGCTCCTCCGCTTACAGACTCAGGTGCGCGTCAGTTAGGGTTAGGATCCTATTTCCCCTTTACTTTGTCACGAAAGTATGACTTTTGTTTTTCGTTCTGCAGCTATCTTTCGAGAGCAAAGACCCACCTCCCCCCTCGAGGTCATCTTGTCCAGGAAGAGGTTGATCGAGCGGGACGTTGACGGGGTGCAAGAGGGCCGAGTCCGGTCGCCGGGGCTCTCTCTGGCCGAGGAAGCGACACGTCCCCGGCGAGGCAGTCCCGTGACAAGGAACGCTGCCAACAAGGGGGAGCACCGAGAGTTCCACCACAGCAACGCGCCCCCGGGAGGCCACCACATCGACGTGGTGGAGAGGTTCCTGCGGAGCGAGCGGGAGCGAAGCCACGTCGACCAAGTGCAGGCGCGGTGCCGCAGCCGCAGCCCGGACGGCAAGGGTCGCCTCCGGCCCAGTAGGGAAGTCCGGGACATCGAGCGGCGGAGTCGCAGCAGGGATCCGGAGGTCGACGACAGGAGCAGAGAGCTCGCCGAGATTCAGGAGAAACGGCGACGAAGTCGGAGTCGCGACGAGATCCGGGCGAGAGAGGCGCGCAGTCACGACACGCGGCGGAGGAGTCGGAGCCGCGACGAACTGGACGAGAGGGTGAGCAGTCCGCACCGCGAGGCGAGATCTCGAAGTCGCAGCCAGGACGAGCTCGAGATCGACCGCGGCCACCGACACCGCAGCGGCAGCCGCGACGCGCTGGAGCAGCGGCACCGGGAGCGCAGCCGCGACAAGAAGGAGAGGCACCGGAGCCGGAGTCGCGACCTACTCGACGCCACAGACAGACACCGCAGCGAGAGTCGGGAGGTGTTCGAGATCTCGAAGCAGCGCAGCCGCAGCAGGGACGGCACCGAGCACAAGCGGGGCCACCACGACTCGGGGCGCACGAGCCGCAGCCGGGAGGAGCTCAAGGACCACGTCGGTCTCAACGGCAGCGCCGTCCCCAAAGCAAGCCCGGAGGACAAACCCGGCGACTGGGGGCGGTCGACGGAAGTGGGACACAACGGAAAGGAAAGGGCCCCGGAAGCGGCAGAGCGGCGCCACCGGTGCAAGTGCGCTGAGCGCGACGTAAGGGACGTCAGGGACGCCAAGGGCCGCGTCGCCGCCGCCGACAGGGCGGGTCAGAGGCAGGCGCACAAGGGCGAGCAGGCGCCCGCGCAAAGCCGGCGCATCCGGGCCGCGGCTGACCAGAAGGCCGACAAGATGGTCAGGAAGACGCGCACCCACGTGGCCGCCATGGCCAGCCCCATCGCCCACCTGGTGAAGCCGAGCAAGGACAGGGCCTCGTCTGCGACGGCGGCCCCCAGGCGCCCCGGCGACGTGCACCTCCTCATGGAGCCCATCAGGCCCGTGCGCAGGACAGCAGGTGAGGACGCCGCCGTGGCCGGCCCGCAAACCGGCGTCCCGAACGGCTGACCCCGGCTGGCGAGGCGTGTATCTAACTGCAGACTCTCTTATTTTCAGCCCCTGCGAAGCACAGCGGCAGCAGCAACCACCCATCCACGGTGGCGAACGGCACACGAGCAGGACTAGCCAGGGCGTCGGCCCAGAGGCGTGGGACAACCTCGGACAGCAATTCGAGCCTGTAAGTACACTCTAAAAAAAATTACAGATTTTTATATCATGGATGCTGAAAAAACTGCATATCCAAATTACAAATTTTTGTATTATTTTTTTTTTAGAGTGTAGACTTGCTGACCCCCTGCCCGCCCCGCCCCGCTCTAACTAAAAGCCCATGTCGCCTCCCGCAGGTCCCAGGGGAAGGGCGCCGCCCCGAGCAGGCAGGGCGCGGAACCTCTGCGGGAGCGCCAGGAGCGGCCTGCGAGACGGAGCCACAGGAAGCACGCGCCGGGGGACTCTGGCCCAGGACTGATGAGTTAAGTTTCACAAAAGACTTGTTAAATCTTCTTACATTTTGTTTTCTCATGATAACTCACAATTAAGTAAAGTAAGCGGCCTCGCGACAGAGTCCGTGCCATGCTCTTTGTAGTGATACTTACAAAAACCCTAACTGTAATATAAAATCTTAAGACTGTAACACCATCATCAAGGATATTTTATTGGTCGATTTGATATGTAATTATCAATAATTCCCATCAAACATTCATACCAAATTGTGTACATTCGTTTTGTGGTTTAACCTTGCCTGTCAGGGCCAAGACTGTTCTTGATTGGTGCCTGTATGGCTTTTGTTGTACAAGAAATAAATTAATTTGCTCATTTCATTATCCTGTTTTCATTTTTATGTTCAATTAAATATATGTATACAAGCACAAAATGACACAAAATGTGCAAAAAATACCTCTATTTCTATCACCTCAGTCTTTTACTCGTTTCATGCAAATCTGTAGAAATCCACAGTTGCATTAGTCGTATAAATAATATTATACCACAGATGTGTCTGTCGATCTGCGAACGAAACATTCAAAACGCGTCTAAGAGACGACAGCCGTTGAATTCGCAGTAGACTCGCCAGGGGCGCCTTTAAGTTGCAATAGAACGACGAGATACGTAGTGACGGCTCCGAGTATCTATAACGAACAGGTAGTTTAAAGTCGCTATCGTAGCATGACGAGAAAGTGTCGACCGGATACGTACAGATACGACGAGTGGAAGACCCAATTCGAAGAGGCCGCACGCGTTAAAGTTTACTCTGTGGTGCAGTAGCTGAATAGAGAACGTTTCCAGCTGCGGGCACAGAACCGAAACGATTATTAGCGGCGAGTTATTGGGGTGAATCAGCCACTGGTAAAAACAGAGTTCCCTCGCTACGAACATGTTTTCGGAGTGAGCAGAGTGAAACAAAGGGGTACCTGTCTGTGCGCGTGGCTGGAGGGCGCCGTGGTGCTGAGCACCACCCCGACGAGCGTGCCCGTGCGGCCGGCCTGTTGACACGACACAGGAAATGAGTGATTAACGCGGACCGGCGCCGGAAGTCGGGGAGCCGCTGGTGTGATGGGGTGCGAACGGGCGGCGGCAAGGACACCGGCGGCGCGGGGGAGGATGGGGAATCATAATGAAACGAAAATCAATGCAAAGCGGTGCATCGATTTGCAGTTTTCCTTGCCTCATTGTCCGGAAGGAGTGGGCTTACCTCGGCGCTGGCGCGGGAGCAGGGCAGCACGATGAACAGCATGCGGCCGAGGTGGGCGGCCAGCCACACGGCCTGCATCACGATGTACTGGCCGCTCACCAGGACGGTCTCGGAGATGAGGTGCTTGAGCAGGAAGTAGGCGGTGATGACGAGGTGCAGCAGCAGGCACAGCATGTCGGCGAGCAGGGACAGGCCGTAGCGGCGCGCGATGGTGAACGTGAGCTCGCACAGCATGTGGTGCGCCATGTTGAGGCGCTGGATGGGCACGAGCGCCCCGGCGGCAGCCCCGCCCCCGGGCTCGGGCCGCATCCTGGACCGCCGGCTGCCCGCGCCCGCCGCCGCCGCCGCCGCCGTGCCCAGCTTGCTGGGGTACAACGTGCCGTCCGCGAGCGCCGCGATGGACATGCGGCGGCTGCGCGCCGACGAGCGCATCCAGCCCTGCTCCATGGTCATCGGCGTGGGCTGCTCCGCGGCCACCGCCACTGTCGAGGCCAAGGAGAGGATCGTGACGAAATCTGGGCCTTCGCCTCCACGTTTCACATTCACACGAGAGCAAGTATGATCTAGTTGACCCGCAGTGGCGGGAACGAGAAATAGACCATTTCACCCGAGCGCTTTTCGACCTCTCGAAGAACAAAAATACCGGAAGTCAGGGTAAAGTGTCTCACGAAATAGAGGTTTTGTCGTCAATGCAACCGACAATCTACTCTTCTCAGTCCTAAATTTAGTCAAAAATATATTATTACGGCACACACCGCTTCAATCTAACGTGT